CTACTAATGTACATGTGATGTTTGGCACTTAATAAAAAAATTGACACACAAACAAGCAAGAAAAACAAATCTTATCAAAGGACAAGACAATAGATAAAAATATACTCAAACATGACCCAGATGTTGGACAGGAACTTTAAATAACTATGATTAATATGTTAAAGGATTTAGGTGAAAAGGTGTAATGCAGGTACTGACAGGGAATTTCAACAGAGATGAAAATTCCTTTAAGAGGCAATTGTAAAAGCTATAATAAAAAAAAATGCCCTATCAGAGAAGAAAGATTCCTCAGACAAAACCATCAGTTGAGCTAATAAAGCCAAAGAAAGAAGTAATAGACTTGAAACAAGGCCAGTAAAAAATATCCAAAGGGAAGCACAGAGAAAAAAAGAGTGGAAACAAAAAGCACCTAATAGCTATAAGACAATACCAAGTGGTCTAATAGTCTAGCATATATGTGTATAATTGGTTCCCCAAAAGGACAACAGAGAAAGAATGGGGTGAAATAAATACTTGCAGAAGTAATGGCCATGAATTTTCATGAAATAATGCAAGATATCAAACTAGAAGATCCAAGAATCTCAATGAATCTCAAGCAGAATTTAACACACACACACACACACACACACACACACACACACACACGACACATCATATTCATATTGTTGAAAATTAAAGATAAAATGTTAAAAGCAGCAGAAAAATAAGCCAGATTAAGTAGAAAAGACTTTTCTTCAGGAACAATGCAAACAAAAAAATAATGGAATGACATCTTTAAGGTAGCAAAAGGAAAAACCTGCCAACCTAGAATTCCAAGCAAGGAAAATATACCACAGTAATAAAAGCAAAATGAAAAATTTTCAACCAAACATTGCTAGCAGACCTACAGTACAAAACACATTAAAGGAAGTTCTTCAGGCAGAAGGAATATGATATCAGACAGAAATCTAGATCAAACAAAAGAAAAGAGAAGTTTCAAAAATTGAAAAAATTAAAGTAAACATAAAAGCTTTTTTTAAAATTGCTTTGAACTATAAATGACCTTTTAAAACAAAAGTAGCAACAATATATTCTGGAGTATAAAATATGCAAAGGTAAAATGTATGACAAAAATGATGTAAAGGATGAGAGGGAAAATTTGGGAATATACTGCTGATGTATTCATTTAACATACATGTAGTGGTATGACATTATTGTAATAATTAAAGATATATATTGTGGATTCTATAATATCTATGTTGACAGATAGTAACCGCACTAGTGGGGGTGAGGATTTAATAATATGGGTAACTGCTGAACCACTGTGTTGTACATTTGAAACCAATATGATTATATGTCAACAATACTTCAATTTAAAAAAACAGATGTATATTTTGATCCTTAGGTCAACCATTCAAAAATTTCAAAAAGAATATATAACTAATAAGTCAATACTGGAGATAAAACAGACTCATGAAAAGTACTGAATTATATAAAAACATGTAGAAAAAGAGGGAATCATCAACAAGAAAAGGACAAAAAGAAAACTAATTCTGAGATAGTTTAAATCTAATTACAGTCTAGTTAGACTATGTTAATAGTCTAAACACTCTCAATTAAAAGATAAAAAATGTCACATTAGATAAAAAAGCAAGACCCAAAGCTGTGTATAAAAAATCCACTTCAAATATTAAGATATATACAGTTTAAAAGTAAATAAAATAATTTCTGGCTTCTAATCTGACATGCTAAGAGCTTGGAAGATGTCACTCTCATCCTCACAACAGTAACAAAAAAAAGCCAACCTACAAACAATAATTCTTCTTACATTCAACAGAGAACTGACATTACAGGGCAAATCACCACCCAGAAAACTGAAGAGACAGGTGAAACAGAAAATTATAGCTACCAGGAGCGGATACCACTGGATGGTGAGAAACCTTCGAGAGTAATTGACTGATTGCTGGAGACTGAGTGTGGACTAACTTGAGAGGGAAAATCTCCCGGGCTGGTCTCCCATAGGAGCACCACCAGGTTCTCTTCAGGGTAAAGATTAGAGAATATTCTTCAGGGTAAACATTAGAATCTGCAGTGAGAGGATTCAAAGAAATCACTGGAGGGAGAGGTAAAAGCAATCATTGTGAAATACACTTCTGTACTCTGTTCTCCTTAACAAAGGCCTGACTTGAATGACAACTGTAGCAGAGCCTAACCAGCATGGGTTTTGCCAGAGCCTGACTGACATGGGCAAGGAAATACCCAACTCCAGCCTCCTCTAGCCTCCTGTCTCATCTAAGGCAGGATGAGAAAAGAACTTGTAAAGAAAAGGTAAGAAGCACTTGTAAAGGTCACAGCCATGAACAGAGGCCCACTAACGGTCTGATATCTAGTTACAGAGTTAAAGAACCCTTCTGTTCACCCCACAACTTACCACTGTATCAACAGGGCTCCTTTATAATATCAAGAGGTTACAATTCAAAGAACTGCAAGCTTACTCCATTGAAGGAATCTATGAGGAAATCCAAAGATGACTGAGGAGAGAAAAACTAGGACACTAAAGAAATTTTAGCCTCTGCAGCTTAGCCTTTATCCATAAGGCAGAAAATCAGTGCAGTTATGGCTGAACTGAATAGCACCATCAATCACTTGGATGGAAGAGACATTTATAAATTACTCTATTCAAAGATGGCAGAACACACAAGCTTCTCAAAAATATACAATTCTCCTTAAGCTGATATATAACATTCACCAAGATAAACCACATTCTGGACAACAAAACACACATAAGAATTTTTAAAAGAATAGAAATGATACAAAGTATGCCCTCAGACCACAAAAGAATTAAACTAAAAATCAGTAACAGTAAGACAGAGGGAAACCCCAAAATATTTGGAGATTAAACAACATATGAATAAAGGAAGAATTATCAGGGGAAATTTTTAAGTATTTGAAACTGAAAATAAACATACAAATTAGTATTTGTAGTATGCAGTGAAAGCAGTGCTTAGAGTGAAATTTATGGCATGAAGTACATACATTAGAAAGTATATAGATCCAAGATCAATAATCTAAGCTTTCACCTTAGAAAACTAGTAAAGGAAGAGCAAATTAAATCCAAAATAAGCAGAAGGAAAGAAATAATAAAAATCTCAACAGAAATCTTTGAAACTGAAAACAGGAAATTTAATAGAGAACAATCACCAGAGCCACAAGCTGGTTCTTTGAAAAGGTCAATGAAATCAATAAAGCTCTAACTGGGCGGACCAAGTAAAAAAAGAAGTTTCTTCTCACCACTCCAATGCAACATCATATTGGAAGTCTTAGCTAAAACAATAAGACAAGAAAAGGAACTAAAGGCAGAGATTGGGAAAGAAGAAATTAAAAACAATAGAAACCCGGGATCTCACCTCTAAGTATTCACCCAGGCAAATGAAAACACATACCTGCACAGAAACCTGTACATGAATGTTTACTGCAGCTTCTATCCATAAACACCAAATACTGGAAGCACCCTCATCTTGGTTAACTATTGTTATCTAACAAATAACCCCATAATTTAGCAGCTTAACACATAAAACATGAATTATTTCACAGTTTCTATGGGATAGGAATTTGGGAGCAGCTCCGTTTGGCAATTTGGCTTAGGAACTCTCCTAAGGTTGCAATTAAGTTTTCAGAAGCAATTATCTGGAAACTTGACTGGGGCTGGAAGATCTGTTCTCTAATGATCTGCTCATATGGCTGTGGACAAGCAACCTCAATTTCTCATCAGCTTTTGTCAGGACACCACAGTTCCCTGCCACACCACTCTCACGGGGAAACTTGTTTCCTCAAAAAATGTCAGGTGGCACAAGGCAGAGCCACATGTTTTACAATCTAGTTTCATAAGTCACATACCAGCCCTTCTGCCATATTCTACTGGTCAGTACCCAGAGACCGACCCCAATATAATGTGGGAAGGGTCAACAGAGGGCCATGAATAGTAGGAGACAAGGATTACTGGGACTATTTTGGAAGCTGGCTACCAAAAACCTAAATGTCCATTAACTGGTGAATAGTTAAACTGTGGTACATCCATACAGTGCTCGTAATCAGCAACAAAATGGAGCAAACTACTGATATATGTAACAATATAAAGAAATCACAAATGCATTATCCTAAGTGAAAGAAACCAGATCTAAAAAGCTACATACAATATGATTACATTTATGTGGCATTATGGGAAAGGCAAAAACCAAAGGGACACAAAACATCAGAATTTGTCAGGGTCTTGGCAGTGGGGTGGAAGACTAACTACAAAAGGGCATGAAAGAATTTCTTTGGATGACAGAAACATTTTGTACTTGATTGTGATGGTGCTTACATAACTGTGTGTTTATTAAAGTTCACAGAACTACACACCTAAAAAAGGGTAAGGTTTATTGTAATTATACCTCAATAATTTACTCAGAAAAAGAGAGAAAAAGGAATCTTAAGGGAAAACGGAAGAAGCAGCTTGGCTGGGAAAATGGTTATGGGAGTCCTAATATGTAAATAATAAAAGTTTCTGAAGGAAAAAGTACTACTAAACCAATCATGTTATAATTAAAGTTTCTCAAGCTAACAAATATATCCCTGAGCTTGAGTCTAAAGATTTAAAATGCCCATCAAAGTACAGGTTGGACAGATAAGAAAAGATACCCATGTATTCTGGCATGTCTTGGCAGAAGTCTGTAAGAAAAAATAGAAAAAGCTTAAAGGCTTCCAGAAAGCAGGAACAAGTTAGTTGAAAAAAGAGAGACAAGTGTAGGCTTTTTTACTTGCAACACGACAAAAAAAGGAAAAAGTGAAAAAGCACCTGCAAAGTGTTGAGAGAAAAGGACTGCCACCCATGAATTCTATTTCACCAAGAGTAAAATAAAGTTATTTTGGGACATATATAAAGCAGCTAAGCAAAAAGAACATTAAGAACAGACCAGTGTACAAGGACACTCTAAGTAGTTATTACAAAAAGCTTCTTGTTTTGTTTTGTTTTGTTTTACCTGGTTTACAAGATGAGAGGGACCAAACAGCTTGTGACCCTATTTCCCGTACTGTTCCAGTCCTTTCCAACTGCTTAGGGTCAGCACCAGGAGGTGTCTTGTTTGGTGTAGTCATTTTTTAAATATTCTGTGTAGAAAAAAAAAAAGAATAATCAGATTATAACAGGACCTGAGTATCTTTCTTACAAAAGGTAAAAATAAAAATTTAATAGCAAAATGGATCACTAATACACCCTTGACATAAATCATCTCTTTCTCAAATGCAGTTAATATAACTCAACCACTATAATTTAAAAAATTTTGGGAATTCAGTTTTTGTTTCCATTATGATATATGAGATGTGCAAAGCAGCAGAGTATAGTAGTCAAAAGGGCCCAGGACCAGGGTTTTAGCTGCAGCCTCTCCTTTAGCCTAGACTTGGGGCAGATCTGGGCTTTATTTTCTTGCCTGTCAAAAGGGTTGAGTTGATCTATACTTCTATAATGCTATACAGTACTATACCTCTCTGAGTAAAAATTATATATTCAAATTAAGTTTTTGCTTTAGAAAAGTAAGACTGAAATACTCTTACTTCAGGAGTATGTAAATATTGGTTTCCACTTTAAATAAAACATTAAGTGATGTTCAGAAAATCCCATCTCCCCTCTAGTTGTCAAGAGTTCTATTTCTATGTGCTCTTCAGAAAAATGGCTTCAAGGTCTAGAAGTGAATAACCTTCTAATCCAAAGTAGACGTTTACCACATCTTTCAAGTCTTTTTGTTAGTTTATCTTGCTAAGTCTACACAAACATGAAAAATACCTCTTGGATTGTGAACAGTACGTAAAACTGCTTCGGTAGTGCAAAGTTACAGCTACTGAACATTGTTATACATGTCCTTGTAAACCTGGCCCAATAGTTCTATATACTTTCTCCTTGATCTCAGTTGCTCCCCAATCTCCACACTTGATATTCGTTAAATAATAGAGCCACTGTACTGTAATATTCGGAAAGGCCTGAAACTTTCAGTGAATTTACTTTCAGTAAATTAGCAATTTATTGAATTAATAAATGGATGAATGAATAGACTCAGTCATAAGCAAAAATATGTGCCACCTTACAAGTCAAGTGACGTCTAGGATGAGACATTTAAACCTGTGGCTATCATTACAAACTGAATGTCCTGTCATTGTCAAATGTCCAACATTGTCAAAAAAAGAAAAAAAAAGGCCCATCTGTACACTGGACATTGGAGCTGAATTCAACTGCCGGACTTGGTACTGGATGCCATCAAATGGGTAAAACATGGAGTTCGGAGAAGCCTGGGTTCCTGGCCACACAGCTCATAAGGAGCTGAGGCCAAGGAGACAGAAACCCAGCAGGAGCACTGTTTGAACCAGACTCTGATGGCCTTACTTGACACCCCTGCGGAAGTGCTATAAACAGTCAACCGCTAATGCTCCAATACCGATCCACCGGCCTTGAGAAGAATGCGAGCGGAAAAGGAGACGGAGACAGGGGAAGAGAATGCATCTGCTTATGCTAGAACCATTCTCCACGTCGGCGAAAAGCCACGTGCACTTACAGCTTGCAGACCCGGCTCGCCAAAACTGAGGTTCTTGAGATCCACTGCAGCTCGGCGCCACTCCCACTTAACTTCTCGGGACAGCCTGGCTGCTCATCGATGTTGAATCGTGGTCGCAGCACAATGACGTCATCCCCCGCCGTCTCGCCCTACCTACTTCCAGGGCTCCGCCTGCCTCTCTCCGTCGCGCGCGCGCACCACAACCCTGTGGCATGCGCGAGACGCAGGCTGGGCACCGCCATTTTGGCCGGCGGCCGTAGGAACACGTTGTGTTCCTGACCAGTGAAGGGGAGAGCTGATTTGGCCACTGTGAGCCTCTCCGCAAGGGGATCGTTTTCTCCAGGTATGTGAATAATCCAGAGGGGTTTGGCTGTTAGCTGCGGCCTGCCAGGACTTAAAGCCTGTGAAGATGCTCGCCGCGAGCCTTCAGCCAGGCCCCAGGTGGCGGCGGTGGAGACAGCCGCGGCGCGTGGCAGCCGGCTCGGATGAGACGGCTGGCGCCGCCGAGGGCTGGGAGGCGCCTCGCACTTCCCTCCAGCTGCCCCGACCCGAGGCCGCTGCGGACCGCCACCCCTGCCGGGAGCTACGAGAATAAACCCAGGTGCCGTCTCGAGCGGTCCAGCCTCCGCAGTCTCCGCTCTCCCCCGCTCCAGCCCCGGAGCCGAGCCTTCTCGAGCGGAAAGCGCTTCAGAATTTGGAGCGTCCCCTCCCATTCCCAGCCTTTCCCCGGCGCAGTAAAATGGATATACTGTCATGCGTGCGTATTTGATGGTGGCAAGACGTGACCTTTTCTTTCACTTCATTATGGTGATGATTGAATATGTCATGGCATCTTGCCGCCATGAAGTCGAGTACTCCTTGTCCACTCCCAGTTTTTATAGAAATGATGGCCAGACGACGCTTTAGTTTTTTTATAGAGCGTCGTGGACTGGACTGGAGTTAACCCACGTAATCTCCCAGTTGAACGCCTTTCGCTTTTTTGGTGCGCTTTTATAGCACTTGGCCCCTTGTTGACTTAGTCCGTTTTCCCCTTTACTGTATCTTAAACTCCTCGAGTTTGTGGAGAGTACCTTTATTTTCCCTTTAGTAGTTCACTTTGTAAGCACGATGGCCAAAACCGACTCCCACATCCCAGAAACTACGTAAGCCTATTTGGGGGGTAATGTTGATAAGTGAGAAATAACTGTCAAACTATGTTTTATTTTTTTTTAACCCTCTCTTCCAGAGAACTATTAACTAGGCATTTATGCAAATGGCATTTACGTTGCAGTTCTCAGTATATTTGTCCCATATATTGAAAATACCCATTCTGTACCAGCTACCTGAAAATAATGCTTTGTCAAGTGTTAACCAAGAGCTTTTACCTGTATTCGAACAAAAGGTTTTTTGTGTTTTTTTTTTTTTTGCTCTTAGTTAAAACACCTTGTTCTCCCGTACTAAGAAATTTCTTTTAGGAACTAATATAATTGCTGGGGGAAAAAAAGCAATACTGATTTAGTGTCCCTTCTAAATCTCCTCAATTTAAGACTGAAATGAGAGTTGTGCACCACTCCCAATTTAGGTCTTTTTATTATAAGACAGCCTACAATTAAGCATAGGTCAGAATATTTCATGTGCTATCCAGCATCATTTATTAATAGCAGTCTTTTAAATGCTTTCCTATGGCATTATAATTTGGTTTTAGACTGCAGATGCTTTCCGTACATGCCTCACTTCCTTTTTTCCTCCCACCTGGAAGAATGGCAGTGAGGATCATTGAGTACCATTTTTTAATACAGTTTGTTTTCAGAACTGAAATACCTTCAAATCCCTCATTGTTTCCAGGAGTCTGTTACTATACTCTTCCCCTCCAAGCTTTACTGTACTGTATCTCATTGAAAAAAAATAGGGGGGTTCCCTTTTTCATAATTCCTGAAATAATAGAAATTTAATTAGTAGTGATTACACAGTTAACAATTCAACAAAGAACCAATATTCGTTTTTCTTAAATGAATTATAATTTATCACTATCTTTTATATGAAACAGCTTATTAACCATCTCTGCTATGCTTTTATTCTATAGAAATCTTCTCTATAGTCACTTGGTTTTAAAAATGGTTTAAAATAAGACGATTACATTTTAGTAGTCTGGCAAAAATAAAAGTTTAATATAATCTATTTCAAGATAAAAGACTTAGCCCCTAAAGGGGAATTCATCACAGTCATTCAGGTAATTTGTATGGTGTCCAGTCTTAATAGCTTAAACTTATATTTTTAGAGAATCTTCAGTTTTTAGGGAGTTGTCATTTGCAGAATGGTATCTTTTTGTGTAGCAATTCAAAAGTCATTAATGTCTTCCAATTTTTATGAGACCGAGACCAGTTTTTAAACATTTTTAAGGGGGTAAAAATGAACCTATTGTCAGCATAACTCTACTAAATAAGTATTTGATCTCCCTTTGGATGACTTTTTTTCCCAGTATATACTTTAGTGGATAGCTGTTCCTGTAAAGTACTGGCACTTGCAAGGTTTCTGACATTGTTATAACCTATAGGGCAATTGTTTACTGTATTTAAATTAATTTTCTAACTCATCGAACAAAAATGTTGAGCTCCTGATATGTACTAGACACTGGTCCAGCCACTGTGAAGAACAGACAAAAAATCCCTGTCCTCCTGATTGAGTACATTCTATTTGGGGTGGGAAAAACAATGTATATGTAGAAACAGAATGTATAAATACACACATATTTATGTATGCACTAAGTAAATGTGTACATATACTATACATAATCATATACACATGACACTTAAACAACATAGAGGTTGAAGGTGCCAACCCCCAAAACAGTCAAAAATCCACATGTAACTTTTGACTCCCTCAAAACTTCACTACTAATACCTTATTATTGACTGGAAGCCTAACTAATAACAAATAATTAACACATATTTTGTATGTTATATGTATTGCATGCTATGCTTACAATACAATAAGCTAGAGAAAAATGTTTCTTTTTCAGATGTCACAAATCTCCAAAAGATTTTCCAATATGTTTATCAAGAAAAAGCCATGTGCAAGTTGACCCACACAGTTCAAACCTGTGTTGTTAAAGGATCAGTGTATGCTTTGTCATATAGAAGGAGCTAAGGAGAAAAATAAAGCAGGAAAGAGGGATAGAAAGGCACTTGGGTTTTTTTATTTTTATTTTTTGGTAGTATAGCTAGAGAAGGATCACTGAGAAATAAACATTAAAGATTTGAAGGAGTGAGTCATGTATTTTACCAGGGGGAATAGCATTACAGGCAGAGGGAACAAAAAATGCCAAGATACTGAAACAAGAACATGTCTGACTTGAGCTAAGAACATCAAGGAGCCAGTGTGGCTGGAGCAAAATGAACAAGAGCAAGTGTAGTTAGAGATGAGATCGGAAAGTTAACAGAGGCTAACCAGTGCCTCATTGGTTATATTAAGGACTTTGGATTTTACTCAGAGTAAGGAAACCTTTTCAGGATTTTAAGTAGAGGAGTGACATGATACCACTTACACTTTAAAAAGATCATTCTGGTTCCTATGTTGAGAACTGTCAAGAGTTGGAGTAGAAGGAGGTAAGAATAGAAGCAAAGAGACATATTAGGAAGCTATTAGAGTGATCCAGATAAGAAATAATGATGGCTTAGACCAACCACATGTCATGAGAAGTGGTCAGATTCATAAAGGTAAATACAGCAGAATTTTCTTTTGTGGCATGTGAAAGATTAACATCTAGGATTTGGGCCTGAGTGAATAGAAATCTAGAGTTGTCACTTAACAGAATGGGCAAGACTGCTAGAGAAGCAAATTTTGGTGGGGATTTCAGGAGCTCAGTTTGGGACATGCATATTAGACCTTTGAGAAGAGATTTTGGGTAGGTGGGTAGGTAGAATTTAGGGTCAGGAGAGGTGTCCTAATTTGAGATAGAAATTTAGGAGTTAGGATATAAATCCCATATAAGTAAGATTTAAAGCCATGAGACCAGAATAGAGCACCTTAGAGAATGAGTATAGATAGAAAATATGAGTGAGTATTAGAGTACTCTGAACTTCTAGAAACCCAGGAGATTGGGAGGAATGACCAGGAGAGTAGGAGGTAAACCAGATTAGTGCTGAATCCCAGAACCAAGGTAAGAAAGGATTTCTCTCTATTAGGAAAAGGTCATAATTTGTGTCTGATGCAGTAGATTAAGTTGAGGGCTAATAATTAACCATTTGTTTTAGCTACATAAGGAACAGTGATGGCCTGACAGGCTGTTTTGATGGAATGATGGGCACTACAGCCTGGAATGGGTCCCAGAAAAAAGTACATAGAAATTGGAAACACAGGCTATAGGCAACTCTTTCCAGTAGTCTTTTCATAAAAAGAAGGAGAAATATAGCAATAGTAGAAGACTGGGGTCAAAGAATAGAATGTTTGAATGCTGGTGGGATAAGCCGATGGAAAGAATAGTTCATGATGTGAAAGAGTGGGAGAATTGTTGGAACATTCTCCTTAATGGTGTCTTAGTGTGCAAATGAACTTAGCTATGGAAATCCATTAAGTGTGATTGCTGTTGGCATAAGGGTTCACTTGACACCAGTTAGTTTGGTTTTGGTTTTTTCTCTACCCATTTTTCAGCTGTATGTGTGCAGGTAAAGAGTTATGTTTACCCAGGATATTATTAGTGAAGGGCATAAATGATTGACAGTGGAATTTTAGTTGGGTACCGAAGGAAATGGAGGTATGAAAGGCTGGGGACAATGGAAATATGATAAAATCAAGAGATAGTGATAGGTCTGGGGAAGCAGGGAATTCAAAGTGTTGTTAGGTTGCAGTTACTGGTAATGATGAGGTCAAGGGTTTGACCAAAAGAATGAGTGGCTGAGGTAGGGTGAAAGACAGCATCAGTGGTTAAAAGAGATTAATGAACTGAGAGGATAGGCTACTAATAAAAGGATAATCTGTGGCCATATTGAAATCACCAAAAATTATGACAGGAGTTGTAAAAGAGAGCGAGAGTTAGCCAAGGCTGGAAATCAAAGAATGAGGAGGAGTGATCTGATTCTCAGCAAAGGACTAAAGCAGTTGGGTAATCTTAAGAGGCAAAGCTGACTTTAGTGAGGAGGGAGAGATAATAA